CCAGTCAGTTTTCTATCCACCTTAAAGTCCATTCATCCAGGCAATACTTTCTTAGCTTGCCTGGGAGAATGTTGTGGATGGTTGTATCAAAAACCTTGCTAAAATCAAGGTACACCACATTCAGTGGTCTCTCTGCTTCCACAGAGCCAGTCATCTCATCTTAGAAGAATGGATCATAGAATCCAGTTACTGTTTCATAGTTTGTAGCAACAGTAGAACATAACTTGGGACAGAAAGCTACAAACACTACTAAAGCCAACTAAAAACACCATGGAAATCCAAGTAGGCATAATATAAATTACCCAACCTGAAATTCAGCCAATAAATGGAAACTAAATACCATTTCAAAAAAAAATGTATCATTGAATATATTTAATAACCATAACTGGTCAGAATATCAATTTTACCTATTATTAAATGACAAAAAATATCAAATGAAATAAGAATAAGCCTGGTGTAACTGGTAAACTTCTCAAGCCATGGGACAGAATGACTCAACTTGGGTCAAAGGAGGATGGGTTCTAGGACCTGTCCACCACTAATACCCCTGCGTTACCCCACCCTGGCACAGGTAAAGCTCCCACTACTGCAGTTTCTCCCCACTACAACACAGGAGAAGTCCCCAGCACCAAATGCCACCAAAGCCACATGTCCATGGGCTATATCCAATCCAATCTACTGACTTTAGTTTACTGAACCTTGACTTAATTATTTAATTAAAATAAATTCACTTAAGAAAAGTTGCCTCCTTTATAAATCTGGAAGAAAATGAGTACTGGGTTCTGAATTTACCCACAACGTTCAAGCAGAGCATCAAAAACACAGAACAATCAAACTCCAAAAGGACTCTTGCATTTACTTTTAATGTTTTTATACCCATTTTAGGGGGGTATTTTTTAACAAAGCATCCTCTATGAGATTAATATAAGGAATTTACCTTTTGTTTTCATACTGTGCTGTATAGTCTGGGTGCAATTTTGCATGTTACCCATCATTTGCATGCTCTTTCATATAAGAAAAAGTGGCTTAAGAAGAGCAGGCTTAAATCACAATGCCATAGTCCATAAAACTAATAATTATTGGGAGACACCAGTGCTGCGTGTCTATGCAGGGTTTGAAATGTTAAATATACATTTCCAATCAACAAATCAAACAGGAAAAACAGATGCTTAAAACCTGACTCAAGGAAACCTCCTCTTAGCTAGAAAGCTCTTTGGTCTTCAGCTTTATTCAATCTTTGTTCTCTGCTAAAGGAGGCAAATGTAGGTCCAGTTAATGCAATTAGTCCAAGATAACAGGACATTTTGGTTACTACTTGGTTAAGCTGAATTTCTATAAACAAAGAAGAGGTGAAGAAAAGGTTCCACATTAACTTAAAGAACCACTTAATCCAACTAAATCCTGCACCTATGCCCCTGCTAACAAAACTCATTTAGCACTAGAATTACCTCTTCACATTATCAGACCACTTTGATCCCAACGTTTTCCCCTTATGAAGTGGCTGCCATCTTTAACAGCTTCATTCTTTTTCTTTCATAACTTCTGTGATTTTA